TAAGAAAAATCTTCTTTACAGTGAGGTGGTTGCCTGCTGGAACACGGTGCACAGGGAAGTTGTAGCATCTCCATCCTTGGAGACAACCAAAACCCAAGTGGACGTTGATAGCTGGTCCAGCCTAAGCAGTGGGACTACACCCTCTCTAGAAGCTCCTGCCAGCCTCAACTATTCCATGCCTTTGCCACTAAGAGCTGTGAATGATCTACCTGCCATCCCTGCCACCACCAAGCACCTTATTTCCATTCCCCTCAACACTGGGGGGGACCTTTCAGCCTGCCAGCAAATCAAGGGCTGTGTAGCGTAATAAGAGATCATGCTTCAGAGCATTTCTTATTGCACATATTTCACATTTCTTAATGGCTGAAGTACCTCCACACAGCCTTACTCCACATAAATCCCGTTTGGTTAGCTGTTCATTAGGTCAACATGATGTGTTTGGATCAGAAGCACACTTTGCAATGAGCTTTCTGGTCCTCTCCCCTTCTGCACTGTGGCTGGTACCAGAGAGCACCGTTCAAGGTGCATCCTGTCCTCTCTTCAGCCCCAGCTCGCTCGCACACACGTTTCAAGAGGGCAGCTATCCTATCACACACAGGTTCCCAGTTCACACAAGTGTGTTAAATGCAAATCAAAACAGCTTCTTTCCTCCCTCTCCCAAAACACTGCATGCAGTCAGACCCTCCAGGCTGGCAACTYTGTACATCCACTTTTGCAGAACACTGCTACTGACGCAAGAAAAAAGAAATGAGTGACACAACAAAGTGAGCCAACTGGGGAAAATGGGAAGACTGTACTTTTCCCAGTGTTGTATCATTTCTAAATAATTTCTTTTGTGCTGAAGATGAAGCCTCTAGGCTGTCTAGACCTGACTTTTCAGAAGTGCTTAGTGCTTAAATCACCTGCTGGTTTAAATGGGATTTGCACATCAGGGACATTCAAGCCCCTTTGCGGGCCAATCCCCATCCAATTTTCATACTMTACAAAGTCAAGCGCTGAACAAGAAAACAATTTCTACCCAAACACCACCATGTATAAATACTCCTCACTTCYCAGTCTTTAAGAATACTAGGGATTTTTTTTTTTTTCAGAAACAGATGCAACCTATTCTGCATGGGATCTAATGAGGGTTGGGTACATGAACAGGGTTTTTGGGCCTTTGGAAAGTCTCCCCTTAGAATGCCTACCATGAAATAAATTTCATCTTTCCCATGTCATGAACACCATATGAATCTAGAATTCTAAATACCTCTAAGCCTTTCTTTTCATGTCCCTGAAATGATCATGTGAACATCACACAAACTGAATAACGCAGTAAGCAATATAAACCCAGTGCAGCTGTGCTGACTCATGCAGGTTCTATAAGAACCTCTTCAATGATGGTATCTAATGACCCGATCCCATTATTTCTTCCTGCTTTGGGAGATGAGATCATTCAGAATCTTCTTCTCCCAGCTGAAGGGAATTACTTCATGAAAGAAAATACATATTTTTCTATGAACATTGCATTGAAAGAGCAATTCTTGCAATTTCAAAGCACTGATATCTAAAAATCCTTTATTCTGTTTTACTTCATTCATTCATAGCAGTGATGCATAGAACCAAGTAACAATCAGGTAGGATATTGTCAGGCAGCATTAATAAGAGTGACAAAAATCAAATTAAAACATTTAGGGCATCTGACATTGGTTTTGCTTTAATGTAGGAGTACATTAGAAGAAGAAATATAACCGATTTGTTTATAGGTCTAAAGATCATTTTTCTGCCAGCATCAGAATTGTTTTATCKAGTTAAATGAAACTCCAGCCTTTGCTAATGCTGCTTTTAGACATGCAACTGCAAGTCTGTTAGCAGTTTCCAAAATAGCAAAATTTATGAGTCTTAAGAATCCCAGTACTTGCTATAAGAAATTCCATTCTCACAATTAAAAAATCTTTTAATTTAAAGCTAGAAATTCATTAAAACTAATAAAAGAAACAGAGCTCTTCAGGAAGAATTTTGCCCAGTTCTATACATTTTTTTTTCGAGATTGGCAACTCAGCCAGCCTGTTCTTTGAGTGCTGGAAATTTGAGCGTTCAGGGTTTACCTACGCACCGTGAAAATGCCATCGTGAAACCAACAAAAAGAAAAGTGCTCCCTCCAGTGGCAGCCAGACCTCTCCTCTGCGGGGACTTCCCCAACTCCGCACCTCAGCACCATCACAGTGAGACACGACTTGTTTCTCCCCGGGGCAGTTAAAGCTCAGTCTTTCTGTGGTGATGGGCCTTATTTTCAGAAGCTGCGGTTTTAAGGTCAACTCTGGTTTAAGAATCCATGAGCACAGCTACTGGTTTTGAGCCAAAATAATCTTAGTAACTCCCACTGAAATTAACTGTTCTTACAGTCGTATAGCACCTGATTTGGTTTTGCTTCACATTACACCAGAGAAACTCCCATAACAAASCACAGTACAGCTAAGGGTGTTTTCTAATACCTTGAGAAGAGAATAACGAGTAGAACATGATACAACGTAAGTACATCCAACCTACGAAGCAAATAAAGAGGTCACACTCCAGCTGCAAGCTCACTGCCCAACCAAGAGTTGCTAGGGCTCCTCTTGCATTTTCTTGAGAAATCACCATCTGCCTCAGATCACTACCCCAATCTTCTATCAATGAAGAGATGCACCTACTGTCTGAAATGGATATATCAAAGTGTAAGGTGAAAAAACATATTTGCATTAGAYCTCCATATGCCATTTAGCATGGAGAAAATGTTTACCACAAATGACTGAGTGGACACTCATCACAAGTGTCTGTATATATGCAGAACTAAGTAATAAAAGAGCTACTTCACTTTGAGCGGTTGCTCTGCATTACCTCATTAACAAAATTCTCCTGTTACATGAGGGATAATGCTTTTGAACCTGTGCTCAAAATTATGCTCCCACTGTTGGCTAGAAAATAAAATACCTGATCTTGTTGAATGTTAAACAGCCACTGATCRAAATATTGACACAATGAGTTGAAAGAATAATTGCCCAAAATTTCAAAGATATGAGCAATTGGGCATCAGAACTCTGTTAGGAATTCTGATGTTCTCCAAACTGAGTGAATCTTTGCCTGACATCTCCTATATTTCAAAAAAGAAGACTAAATGTTTTTGATAAAAAGCACTTTTGACAAAAACTACTATTTTAGCAACTATTTTAGTAACTACTTTAATAGTACTATTTGGTCTTTCCATTGCCATAAAGCAACTCATACCTAGACATGCCTTCCATCTTGCAGGACAGCATAGCTYGCAATACGGGCACCGTGTTAAGCAGCAGAATCAGTACAGCTATAGTAAATCCATGCTAAGGAAGAGATGGAAGGAAAGGAAGAAGAGGCACAGGCTCACAGGACTGGGACTGCTGAAAATCCCAAAGGAGCACAGTCTTTCTAGTTGTCTTTTCATATACAGCTTTTCCCCTACCATATATTTTTCCCATAATTTTTCCCCTATAATCTCCATGTTTACAGAGGAAGTGCCACTGTGCAGCAGCACAGATTCACCAAGTCAGTAACACCACTTGAAACACCTCTCCTGTTAGCGGCCACACACACATGTACATATATATTAAAAAAAATAAAGCCAGCCTACCACTTGTTTATTCCTACAACCAAAAAATAAAAAAAAGTTGAATAAGGTATATGAGGAAAAACACCTCTGTTTTTAAGAGACTAAAAGCCCTGCTTTTACACTATGCTCTGCAGACACTCAGCAGAGGGCAGCTGCAGGCATCCAGGAGGAACCACCACGCCAMGCTCCCCACCACAGCCTCTCCCACATACCCACAGGAGCACAGCTGGCAAAGGCACTTCAAGGATGGGTCTGCAGGTGAGGACACGGACGACATGTTCRCCTTGAGGGCCAGCTACGGCTGAGGTCCTTCTGCTCCACAAGCAGAGAGCCTTTTCAGCAGCAGTCCTTGCGGACGGGAAGGTCAGAAACAGTTCTGGAGACCTGCAGGGGCAGGGTAAGAGCACGTGGCAGTGGGGCAGGGTGCATGACCCATCCCAGCCGATCAGCTCCCTCCCTGGGGTGAAATGCTGAAGCCCCTGACACAGTTTTCTGCCCAGGGCTCTGTGGCTTCTGATTTTAAACTTCTCCAGACCAGGACATGAAAGCTGTGAGACAGTCACCCAGGGAACCTGTGTGAAGTCACAGGCTTCAGAGCTCAGGGCAGATGATACTAGTTCCCTGCTGATGGTTGAGGTCAGTAATTCCAGTGCTTTGGCTGTCTGAGCAAAATTTAAAAGGGGTTATTAAACACTCCCATCTCACCTACGCTCCTGGTCGGGCTGCACTGGTATAAGCACAAAGCAGCTGTTATCTGCAATAAGCAGAGCCTCTACGACTAACATGGTAGAAGACACATTACAAATTCCATCATGGGCTGCATCAATCTATTTTCATATGGTATTCAGGAAAAGAGGACTTAGAAAAACTTTGAAACTCCAAATGTATCAGGTTAGGAAGCAGGTCTCAGCAATGAAATTTCACTTCAACAGGACAAATTAATCATCTGCCATAGCCCCCCAGACAGGAAATGGACCAAAAAAAATCATTAGATGTGTTTAATGAAAGATGATGCAAATATCTGTCTATACTTACCACACATAATTGACTGCTTTTCCCACAAAGATGCCTTAATAGATGGGCAACTTCTACTGTAGGAAGCTTGTCTACAGGGACTTAGACCAATTTTTGGTTATGCTATTATTTCATAGCAAGATGAAAATGGGTACATGTCAGTCTATTAGCTAATATAAACTGATATTAATACTAGAAGTGTCACAGTCAGAATTTTAATTTAAAAATATCATTTTTATTTAGTAACAGTGTATGTTAAGAGATACGCACTAAAATAGGTTATGAAAAGAGTGGTCTCTCTTCAAAGTAAAAACTGATTACAATATTTATCAGAAGTCTCAGTGAGAAAGAGTAACTCTCACGATGTACTGCGCAAAATAGCAGGGAAATAACAATTTCCCATTTGAGACCTACTGTTTTCCCTTTTTTAGAATTACACAGTGTTCAGCTAGTCCTTGACATATTTTTAAAAAGCTATACATGTGAATGAATATACTATTCTGCATACAAATAGAAGTCCATACACACAAAATGTTACTGTGAAATAAAACAGGAGGAACCAGAGTAGGCAACTGACATTCTTGAACGAAGAAACTTCTGGGACAAACGAGAAAATCTCCCTGCATGAGCAGCATTTGGAGAACAGGCTATATGCTCAAGCCAACCATATTTCTACTACTTAAGGTTCTGCTTCAGCTGTACAGGTTCCATCACAATGGCTCCTTTGTGTCCAGCTTCTTGCTCAAATGCTCTTCGTCTGGAAAAAAAAGTGTACTATTTACAACTCTAATACTCCATTATGTGACAAAAGTATTGTTTGGAAAGTATGTGGCACAAATAACAAAATATTTCTATTTATAATTGTTTCAAATATGGCAAATAGGGCCAAATTATCCCCTATGTGGACCATCAAGCAAAAGCTAAGGGATTCCACTGCATCTTTATATCAGAGTTAAGAGAAAATACTGCATTGGTATTCCATATCAAGCAAGTTTGGCAGTCCAGTTCATGCTGCTGCTTATGTAGTTGTAACTTAGGCTCAAATACACATTCTACTCTTCTTTGAAGAGAATTTTCTGTCATTTTGACCATCTACTACTGCCACAGCCTTACTTGATGCCTCTACAAATACCGCTTCAAAACAGTGCCAAGTTAATTTGTTAATATTACACAGGTAGAAAGGATTCTGTGTCTTAGCATGACAGTTTAATAAGAGTAATTCTTACATAACAGTAACCATCAGCCCTAGAACAGCAGAATTAGTTTTCTTGCTCAGTAAAATTACTGTAAACAAGTATTAAGCTATTCAAACTAAAAATCACTTTCAATTAAGTTTATACATAACCTCAGACAACACATAAAGCAAGCTTCAGTCCTCAAACATCAGCTGAAAAAACATTTTTGCCTTTGCGTGGTAACTTGGAATGGCAATGCTATACCTAAAATAGTTTTAGCCTCATGGTTTCTTACCGAGTTGAACACCTAATACTCCATTAAAAATGTTTCAGCGGTAAACTATTCTGTATAACTATTACTAACTCACCTTTATTTATGTATTTCACAAGTTAGTCTTGCATGAAACTAAACACTGATTTAGTGCTTAGTTAAGCAAGATGCTTATGTAAGAAATTGGGAAGTGAGGAAGAAAAGTCGAGATATTTCAGAACAGAACAAACAAACTAGGAACTCACTTCACTAGCAATAGTACCAGTCTTCTACACTGAAGGCAGGTTTATTAACAGTAAATGTACCATTCTAAATTAAAGTTACAATTCTAGAAATATGCATATGAGCCTACTGTTAGTGCTTCTTTAGGTGTTTTTTTTTAAAAAAAAACAAAACACCCTAAAGAAGTTGAAATGACCACAGAAATTCACATGAGCATTTAGTCTGCTACTTTCAGTAGCTAGCATAGCAGAAGCAGCATATTCCTATGACTCTGCTTTGATATTGACTTTGTTTCTGTATCTTGTTTTCTTTAAAGAATGAACAAGGAAATAATTTACTGTCCTACACTTCCACATCAGGGTTCATCAGTTTATACTAGGATATCAAGGGAAATTTACCTAGTGGCAGAGTGGACAAAGTCCTGTTGTGAGAGCGCAGAAGACACTTACCCTTCAATTTATGTACGGAGTCAAAAGGCATTCTGTTTAGAGCTGATACCATTCTCTCCAGATATCTGGAGCGAACCAGTAAAGGCGACAGGGAAGGGTTACTTTCAGAAAAAGTAACAGGTGATGAGAGAGTATTGAGAAAGTCTTCATCCAAATAAAACGTTTTTTCCAGATCAGTTCCTTCTGTGTCTACTCGTATAAAATCTAGATCCGAGAAACAATTCAGAGATTCATCAGCAGCAGGTGTCTGTTCCTCTTCACTTCTAGACAGAGTCCTTTTCAGTGTTTCGTATCTGCTGAGAACAGACTCTAAATCTACTGAAATATCTCTCTCATTTTCTCTGCTACCTGGCAAATATATGTTGTCAGGTATATCAAAATTCAACTCGGAGCTTGGTGATTGACCAGGATCTGAGAGGATCTCACGGAACATCCCTAACTGGGCAGGTTCGTGACTATCAAAACTTGAACTAAACAGCTGAATTCTATCCATAAATGAATCTTCCAAGTGCTCTGGGGACAGAATTCTTCTCCTGTTTTCTGAAGAGCTATCTTGAGTATCTATACTTTTCTTTTCATAGGGAACTGTTTCTGTTTTATTCAGAATATTTTCTAACTCCTGTTTCTCAATTCGATCATTCTCTGATATCCTAGTTGTTTCCTTAACTGAAGATCTACTGACATGATTTATCTTTATCTGCCTTTCAGGTGAAAGTTCTATACAGCTTAAGTGGGATTTCCTTTCTGAATGATAATAATCAAAGTTAATTACAGGAGATGAAGTGCTATTAGGAATACTTTTCTGTACTACAGCTTTAACCGCCTTTGGAGTTTCTGTTATTACTTCAGATGACAACATCTCTGTGTCTGTTGAGTCTTCACTTCGAATAGCTTCTCTCCATGAGCTTCTAATTTCTGTAACTAAATAGTAGAAGACAAAGTCAAAACGAATTACTTCCATACCATCATTTAATTTTCTTCTGTCATTCTAGTAAGACACTCCTTTACAGTTTTGTACTGTTTACACTTTGTTTTCCCAAACATTTCTCCAGAACAGAAAGAGCAAATCCACGGTGAGGGGTAATGGGAGGGGAGGTGGAGGGGCAGTGAATAGAAGAAAGGAGTAGGAAAAGAAATCCAAGTCATATGCAGACTATGTTCTGATACATCAAGTAAACAATTAGGAAAACTTAACAGTTTGGCCAAATGAGCTTTTCTCCTAGTGTGACATGTACAATGTCAATGAACTAGAACATTTTTTAGTCAATCCCTGATTATAAAAAATCCCTGATTATAAAAACATTTTTTAGTCAATCCCTGATTATAAAAACCAAAGTTCTAGACTTACGTAGATTTTCCGGAGTTCGGGGAATTTGTTTCCTTGTGATAAAAGGGTTAGAAGACAGTGAGCTAATGAGATCTTCCAGCTCTGCTCCTTTTTCTCCACTACTCTGAGGTGAGTCATACATCACTGCTTTTGCAACCTATAGAATATTAAGGAAGAGTAAGTCCAAAAAAAGCATAATTACAGTTATTTCTATAAACTATGGTTTCAAAAAAACTCCCCATTCCCTGGGTGATCTTAGTGCTCAGAATCACCCAACTGCAATTTGGAGTAGTGTTTGGGCTTACAACAGGTAGGGTATACAGAACCATGTTCTACAAGCAAATGATTAAGATATGGAATTGATAACAGTTCCATTCTAAACTTTCCTCTTCTTCAATCTTCTATCAATCCATCTTTGAAATAAGAAAAAATATACTTAGGAAGAACATRTTTGAAACACTAGTCAAGCACTCCACAAGTAGGAAGTCTAGAACTACAATGACAAACACAAGGACTTCAGCAGCAAGAATTTAGTGCCATTTCCAGGAAAGGAGCAGCTTTTTTTCCAAATCAAGTTGTTGTATACTGTATGAAAGTGCTTGTGAAAGAATTCACAAGCTTAAAACTCACAAGGCACACTCACAAGGTACCTGCCAAATGTCTTGTGTAATTACATAAAGAAAAATGAAGGCTAAATTGTCAATTTATACAGGGGTTGATACATTTAAGAGCTGAGAGAAGGAAGGCGTACATATACAAAAAACAGCTCTAGTAAAAGCATTAATCACTTCAAAAACACGTAAACTACATGAACTCTAGTAGTGCCAAACTGTGGAGGAATTTCTTGCAGAAAATGGACATGTGAGCAATCCAGCCTTTATGGTAACTGAAGCTGCAGAAGAAAAGTGATGATTGTTAACTTGTGAGATAAGATTGTTAGCTTCTGCACGTGAGCATGGCAAAACAGTATATTAAGAGCTATCACAGCTTTAATAAACGACATTCACTTGATCACATTGATCGTGTAGTGGTGTCCATTTGATCCTCCGCAACATCGAAGTGTTATACTTTCAAATTTATTTCATGGTTCAATCCTTCCCTAAAGTTATTAACAAAGATTACTACCAACAAGAACTAAGGACTTTTGATGCATACATTCATTTGTGTTATCTTCTATCATCTGCTCTCTGAACTTTTAAGCCATTCATGTCAAACAAGCAAAAGATAACTAAAGAACAACTTTTCCCTACCTCTTCTGCCAGTTGTTGTTGGGCTTTCTCAAGAGAGTCTTCTCTGAGAGGGCACTCTCTCTGGATAATATGAGCATCTTTATTCTTCCCTGTCTCTTCAATGGTAGGTTCATCCACTCCGTCTTTCAACATATTTGCAGAGGCAGGCTGTTCTTCCCAAATGAAGTTTTCAGTAGACAAGACCTAGAGAAATACACAAGAATTATTAAAAACTTTAAACTCAAGGTCAAAACTAGCATGAAGTGCTACTACTACAAAAAATCCAAAAAGCAATGGAATCAGCACTTTTATCAATTATTCAAAAACGTTAAATTCTAGCTAAGTGAAATATTGTGACTCTCATTGTATTTAAAGTAGTACATAATCGGGGATTAGAACACAGTACTGTACAGAACACATACCGGTAATCCTCTGCACCTACAGTGCATATCCTGCAGTACTAAACTGTATATCCAAATTACCTCTGGGACATATTTATTGCCATCAATCTGATACAACTGCCAGTGAATTCACTAAGCTCTGGAAAGAGCACTAAGACATAATGCTATTTGCTTCTTATTTCCAGCTTATCTACAGTGTTCCACTGATACACAGTTGCCAAAACAGTCTCTAATGTGAGCAGCAATATAGCTTAAATGAATCATAAACTTATTTCTTATAACCTAAGACCGATTCAGATCTGTAGTAAAGTCAAGCTTTAAACAATGTAAGAAATATTATTTCTAAATTTAGTATCTTTTAAAAGGCAGAAAATTATTGAAGACCAACCTGTTCAAGCAGCTCGGTGCTGTTCTCAAATGAGCTTATCAACTCTAAAGATTCTTGGGATCCTTGGGAGAGCCTAAAAAACAAACTGCCATCATGGAGAAGAAAAAAAAAAAAAACAGAAAATCCCAGAAGTAGCTAATCACATGGAATCCACTTTTGCACTGTGTGCCTCGTATCTGTCCGTTACGATTTCTCTCAGTTCGTCACGGTTATCAGCAGGCAAACTTACTATAGGGAGAATATGTGACAATTAGAGCAGGTCTAGCCCTAGTTGTGTATCATCCTCCCAAACTATTCAGGTTACAAAATTACTCTCTGGATTGCCAGCCAGAAAGGTTTTTGCAGCACATTTCTGTGAATAAATTCACTCCGCAGGAAAGATTTCTGTAGACTTCATACTATACTTTCCTTGGCACTGCTGCTCTGAAGCACTTCTGACATCTAAAGGTCTATTTCTATACGAACTTATATAAACTATATATGAACTCCAGAAGCACAGAAAGGTAGGGGTTGGTAATCTTAAAACACATTAACTATACATAGTTCAGACACCAATAAGGCTCACCCTACCCTCAATATTCTCCAGGCTAAATAACTCTCTCAGCCTTCCTTCCTACAAAAGTTGCTCATTATTTTCAGGCTCTTTCATTAGGCTCACTCCAGAACTTCCATCTTTCATCAAAGGTATGAGAGGTGGTTAGAGATTAAACAAATTGGGACATACAGGAAAGGAGAATTTAGTGAAAAAAAAGCATTTTGTGAGATTGGCCTATGGATTTGCTTGTGGCAAGGAGTTATTACTGCATGCCCACAGTGTCAGCTCGGATTGCGAAAGGAACATTTCTGCCAAACTTCCCATACACTTGGGAAGTTGTTGATAACGGCAGTGCAAAAGTAGTGCATGATAAATGCCCTCCTTTCCTTCCAAACTGGGTAGCCTGTTCGGTCTTGCCCCATCAAGACAAGTTTTGTTTCCTCTTACAATGAGCCTCAAAATCACTGAGGTAAAGGAAAGCAGTGTGTGTGAGCTGCTAGGCTGAAGTCTCCCTACAGTGAATACAGGAATATCCTCTGTATTGGAGAATTGGGAAGATTATGTAACTTTTGAATGCACACCACCCATTGTTCTTTTATTATTGTTGTATTTCTCAAAGTAATTTTAGTGTGTAAATCCAAAGTGAAGTTCAAGATAATGGCCTCTTCTGGCATATCATCTCCTCTTATTGACAGTTCTCTGTTCTTCTGCACCACTTTCATACCGTTACTTTCAGACAATATGTCTATTCCTTACACCTATGAGAATGATTGTCCCCTCTGCCCCAAATAATTGTAACTTAAATTGCACTTGGTTTGCAGACTTTTAAGGCATCGTGGGTTTTACACCATTTGGCCCAGAATTTTCTTTTTGTTCAGTATGAAACGAGTCAGCTTTTTGATCTTGCCAAGATGTGATAAATTGCTCCAACTGGGAACAACACAATAGGGTCAGATATTACTGGTCCATTTACATCTCCCTAAAAAGAGGCTGCCTGTGCCATAACCACAGCATAAAATACAAATCAGTAAGTGTAAACTTGGCACCCGTAATGATTGCTGTATTGCCTTCAGGTGGTTTGATCTGGGCCTGCGATACTTCCTTATGGCTGCATTTCCTGAAATCCAGTGTACCTTGGGCCTTCCAACGTTACACCCCACGTGGAAGAGGACTCCTCTCCGAATCCACTGGATAGCTTGAGCAAAACAGGCAAAACCAGAACTGTTGGGACATGCAGAGGGGCAGTGGGACCTGGGAGCAGTCACACAGCCTGGGGAATGGAACTTTTTTTTCGGATTTGGTGGTGCTACCACTTGAATGTGATTATGGTTAAGTAAACTAGCGTAGCCTATTAGCTAATGCCACTGATATGGGTACACAGTTTCTCAATTATCAACTAAAAATTATATCCAAAATGACTCATTGAAACCTCATGGAACACGACTGGATGCTGTTACACCAAAATGGACTTTACGGCTACTTGAACTTCTCCAGCACTCATTGCTGCATTTATATCACTAACGTTACACAAGACCTCGACATCCAACTAGAGAAGATGTGACAGGTAGTGAAAGATATGCATGAATTCTGGGAATCACTGAATGTCAGATGGCTGGCAAAGGTCTTTAGTTGGTTTGGATTTGATGTCTACTGCTGGATACAAAGTTTAATAGAGCATGTGGTGATGTTCGTTGTGATAACAATTATCTTAAGCATAGCAATATCCTGTGTAAAACCAGCTACAACGAAAGCCATTCACTGTTTATATCACTTTACAAGCAGATGACCCAACTGATATCCCAGGTACTAATACTCTTAATCTGAAACTACATTTCAATACATAAAGATAACTGGAATCATGGGATGGATACACAAAGTTTGTTACAGTTGTTATTTACTATTGAAATTGCAATAACTGTTGTACGTATTCCTAAACTTCCCCTACACTAAACTTCCCCTCCTTTGTGTAACTCCCCTCCCTCTGCTAATGTAGCAAAGGGCAATCACTCCCTTAAGTGCATCATGTTTTTGCCATGTAATATTAACACCTAAATGCCCTCATATGAAGTTTGAGTGACTATAGTCACGAGGTGGATTAGCTGGAAGAATTGCTTGAAAACGGAGAACTTAGAGGAAAAACTAGGGCCTAACAGTTAAGGCACTAGAGAAGCTGGCTTGGGGTGACACACAGCCAAACTGCAGTAGTACCTGTGCCACTGATAAGCAGCAGAATAGCTGCACAATGGGAGATACACAATAAGCAATAAGGTGTTTGGTGCTGAGCCAACAAGGGCAGCAAATTACTCCTTTCAGATGAACTTTGCTGGAAGTGTGCTCATTGTAGGCTCATTATAATGCCTAAGCACACCTCCATCCCAAAAGTTATCCAGCTCCGAGGTACAACCCCTCCTCGCTGAGCTTGCGTTATAGATTTTCCATTCACTCTATCTTTAAATGAAAGTGAGAGACTTTTTCACCAATCAGTAACAAAAGTGAGCATGACTACAGTCACCCAAGCTCCACCTAAATGTGAAAAATATATACAAAAGGTGAAGGAAGAAGGGCAGAAGTGCAGGGACGACTCCACTGCAACCCACATGGGTCGACGAGCTGAACCCCTCTCCTCCCCTCAGGTCGGCTGGCTGAGGAGGCTCCTCGAGACCGAGATGCCTCTCCATGCTCTGGGGCGAGTTATGTCTTCGCATCTGCGCCTCAGAGCCAGTCAAGAGCCCCACGCTGCAGTGCAAAATGTCCCCTACAAACATCCCAACCTGCCTTGGAAATGTTGCCCTTGAACAAACCCTGCTGCTCGTGAACTCGACTCCTTGCTTGGAAGGTGGTCGGAGCAGCCATCAACAGAACATTCGTGAATGAGAACAGAGCAGGGCCTGCAGCTACCACAGTATTTGGTACCCCTATTTAGAGGTGAGTCCAGCCGCCCCCAGTCCCTCTCAGTCCAGAGGATCGGCTGGAACACAAGCGGATTCACCTCCAACCAAATTTGGCCCCCTTCAAATTGCAACAGGGGGACACAAAGAGCTACAGGCTGTCAGTTGGCCTGAGGACAACGTGCTGAGCTCTGCCATACAACCAGCTCTCAAGACACCTCAATGTCTGCTCAGCTGGCATGCACTTCAGCACCTTCTCTGTGACAATGCTCTGCAGACAGCCTTGCTCAACACAACATACGCAGCTCCCACTTCTTCTACTCAACCAGTCCTCTCCTCCTAGAGGACTTCAGGGCTAGTTAAGCATCACTTACCCGTTCTCAATATACACTGTTCTCCTCATCACCTTATCCTTCACATGCTTGCAGACTGCACCTAGGATGAGCTGCTCCACCACCTTGCTAGGAATGAAGGCGAAATCTAAGGAGCTTGCAGCTCTTGGGTGCTCCTTCATGCCCATTTACAGGGCTGCAGGGACATTTGCTTTCTCCCAGACCTCAGGCACCTCTCCCAATGGTCAGGACTCCTGTAGCACTAGTGGGTGCATCCCATCAGGGCCCGTTGAGTTGTGAATGTCCAGTTTGCTTAAGTCATCCGTAACCTGACCCTTGTCAGCCAAGAGAAAGTCTTCTTTTCTCCAGGCTTTCTCCCTGGCACCCATAATCTAGCCCTACAGTAGCAGAATCACATTCTCCATCATCTTCTTGGTGTTGATGTATTTAAAGAAGCTCTTGTCTTTTGCCAGATGAAACTCCAGATGGACTTAAGGCTTCCTAGCCCCATCCCGATGACATTCCCATTTCCCTTCAAGTGGTCTGCCCCTGCTTTCACTTTCTGAACATTTCTACTTGAATTTTGACAGGAGTTCCTTGTTCATCCCTGCAAGTCTCCTGCACCTTCTGGAAAGCTCCTCACTCACTGCAATACACCATTCTTGAGCTTGCAGGAGCTGGTCCTTGAATATTAACCATTTTTCTTGGACCCATCTTCTTTCCTGGGTTTCTTCCCAGGTCTTGGGAATCTTCCAAGCATATTCCTGAAGAGGTAAATATTTGGCAAGCTGTTCCTGGAGCAATTGTCACATGGCAGGTATGTAGTATGTGAGCAATGGACTACTGAAGCAATCTGATAAGGCTCCAGACATCCACCAGATTCTATTGTTTCCAGCTCTTTATCCATTTCCTGCTAAAAACATCAAAAAGTCATACCTTCTTTCAGGTGTTAATATTGCTTTATCCGTCACATTTTCCAGTGCCCCATCATCTTCATCATCCTCATCATCATAATTTCCATCACAGACTGATTCAAGAATATCTAGAAAAGAAACATCAGAGCTATGGCTTCAGTTCCTTTAAACTCAGGTTTCCTACACAACTTAAGTAAATAATCATATTTTTTGAAGTGTAAGTATCATTACCAAAGTAAATAAATGCCTAAGCAGTAAATTCTTAATCCATTTGGTCAGGTACCACATACAGCCATAGACAGCATTAGCAGCAGTAACTAGTTAAAAGTGGTCCTGAATGCATGTTTTATAGCATGTCTCTATCTATCTGGTCCTCTCACCTTTCATCAGACAATCCTCTTTCCCGCAACATACAGTCCCAAACCCAGGTCATCCTTGACCCCACTGCTCTCCCCACACAGGCACCTAAACTCCACAAAGCAGAAGCTCACCTATTTATTTTCCCCATGTCCTGCAAACTGCTAGTTTGATTGTGGACATACTTATCCCTCAGAGCTTAGATCAGTGCTTCAACCCAGAAACAAGGCACAGTACATACAGAAGTGTTCTGAACAATATCAGAGAGGTACAGAAACACAGCTCAGGACTTTCTAGAACTATATATCCCGACTTTCATAGAATCATAGAATCAGAATGCTGAAGGTTGGAAGGGACCTCAGAGGTCATCGAGTCCAACCCCCCTGCTCACGCAGGGTCACCTAGAGCACGTGGCTTTGACTTTGGTATAGATATCTGCTAAAAAGTTTTGCTATGAACTTCTCCAATAATCCAATTTTTGACTTACTGAGGTAAACATATTTTAAAATGTTCATCATGCTAATAAGCAGGAAGAGGCATTAAATATGACAACTTTTCTTTTTGTAGGATCTTATCCAAACGAGAAACCCACATATACCATTTTCAGGTAAACATATTTTAAAATGTTCACCATGCTAGTACGCAGAAAGAAGCATTAAATACGACAACTTTTCTTTTTGTAGGATCTTATCCAAACAAGAAGCCCACATATACCATTTTCTCTCAAGCCTTCCAATACTGTTACATAGTATTATTGCACAGTGTTTTCTTTAATCATTGTAATTTTAATCAGCAAAGGGTCTTCTATTGCCAGTTCTAGAGCCTTTCACTTGCAACTCCCAATCTTCTATGCATACACTCAGGTTTCTGGAGCAGTGTTATTACCTTTGCAGTCCAAACCCTGTAAAATTCCAATGCTTTTGTTGATTATGTAACTTTTCCCAAAAGGGACTGCAACCAACGTATCAGCCACATCCTTGGTTTGGATATCCTTGCTTTGTATCATCTAGTTTAAAATTCTAAGCAGCAGTCATTTAAAAAGTTAACATACAAGCACAAGACTTATATGTATATTAGCATGTGGAACATCTGATCAAAGTCTGTTTTCATTAGCACTACTAACCTAATGAGCAAGAGCAATGGCAGAATAAGCAAGGTCCTAATCAAACCGCTGTTTCAGTACTAAAAGTATTCCGGAAAATGCCAGCTGTACTGGATGAAGCCAGAGGAAGATTCTCAGAGAAGACATCAGTCTTTTCTCATTTGACCAATGGAGATGGCTTTTTCTTCCTGTTATTTCCTGCCCCCCCCATCCAAAACAAGTTGAGGCTATGTCTCTGGACCCTTGGTACCTCAAAATTTGAATCTTGAAGCTACAACACCCTTTGTTACCGTGAACACCAAATACCAAACAACACAAGCATTACCTTTTTGCCATAGGCAAAGCTTCAGAGAAACTCCTTTCACCATGTCAAACTTCAAAGGCTATTCTGGCAAGTAGTCCTTCAGCACTAGATCATCAGAGTTTATCAGAGAAACTTGCAGATATGAGCAGGGAGTCTTCTGGACTCCAAGTAACAACTAGGAATGGTGGAGTCAAGACAAGTATCTCCAGTTCACTAACCTGAAATTGAATCTGAATGTTGACAGAAGTCACTGTTCTCATAAGTTTCTTCTGTTGCAGGATAAAAAGAAAGGGGTTGCACAGTTGGTAACAGACCAAGTTCCTTTCAGGAAAAAAAGAAAGGAACACAAAACAAAGCATAAAAATTGCACAAGAAAATGAAGAAAACAAAATGCACATTAAAATGAATTAATGGGCAATTACTGACAACAGCATTTTCACCTATTAGTGGTCAGATTCTATGACAAACTTACTCTCTACACATATATATTTAAAGTTATGACCCTTGATTTTGCTTTCAGTATTAGAAGGGAACTGTTGTCCACTCTTCAAGAACAGAATTTTAAAAGGGGAAACAAGAAAACTCAGGTCTTTATGACAGACAGCATACAAAAGCTCATTTTCATAGGACGACAAATCAGTGCAGGATACAAAGACCAGTGAGCTCCTACTTACACTGATCCACTGTAATAAGAAGATGGGTCCGTTTCCCACAACAAATTAGGACATCAGCTGTCATTAAGATGACCAGATCTTCAGGATCAACTATTTGATTTAATAGAACAGTTTATACTGTATTTTTCTTAAGATGCACTATCTAAAGATTTATGGATGAATTGTTGCAAGGGAACACGCTAACCTGCATGTACATCCTTCAGATTCACCTCCTTTCCCCAGAATTAAATGAAAGCTACTTACTGGATCCTTATTTGCAGCTAAGCAAAAAGGAGAGCAGTCAAGATAGTTTTTCCATTTTACTTCCCACTCCTCCTGTTTTTCAGAAACAGATTCACTTGTTGGCACAAAATACTCTTGCTCTATTTTTTGGCTGTAACGTAAAAGCAAGAGAAATGCATGGTGAACCAATCTATTGGCAGAGACAACAAATATCCTCAGAAAACTTTAGGATGTAATAATTTGTGTGTGTTGTAACAAAATGACTGAAATGTAGAACCTTTAAGAGAATGTTACTTAGGTTACCTTTGTTTCTTAAAGTGAATTCAAAAGAACCAAAAGACATTCTAAAGCTAAAGTTACTCATAGAATCATAGAATGCCGAAGGTTGGAAGGGACCTCAGAGGTCATCGAGTCCAACCCCCCTGCTCACGCAGGGTCACCTAGAGCACGKGGCACAGGGCTGCATCCAAGCGGGCTTTAAAGATCTCCAAAGAAGGAGACTCCACAACCTCTCTGGGCAGCCTGTTCCAGTGCTTTGTCACCCTCACAGTGAAGAAATGCTTCCTTAAGTTCCTGTGGAACTTCCGATGCTTCAGTTTGAAGCCATTTCCTCTAGTCCTATCACTGTCCACCACTGAAAAGAGGCCGCCCCCCTCCTCCTCACTGCCTCCCTTGAGGTATTTATACATGCTGATCAGGTCAATTACTCAGAGAAAATTAAGTTGAAGAATATCTAAATGTATAACTGAGACAAATGTGAATTTTTAAGATATAAAGGAAAGATCAGTACAATGTGTTCTCAGTACAAATTACACTAACTTCAGAAAGGGCTCAAAGACAGGAAGACATGATCCTCAGACTACAGAGTAAGGAATTCCAGAAAATTACCTCATTTTTTTCAAATTTACTATTACTTTACTTTGGAATTCAATCTCATTCCTAATATACTGAAGATGTTCTTTTGATTTAAGTTGATTAAATTCATCTCTAAAGATCCTTAGGGCTTCATTTAATAATTGAACAATTGTCAAGAAATTCAGTTTTTCCTCTTCGTGTATCTTTTCTATGCACAGCTTCAGGTGTTGCAACCAAGAAAGAAAAACAAAAAAGGGGGGGGAGGGGGAAGGGGCGGTTTGTTAGCAGACAGATAAAATGGATCAGTATCAGACAGTTATATTTTCTGTAGTTAGCGCAGGGCCAAACTTTCACTCCATGTTTAGATTCTGTTACTGACTGTCTCATTTTTTAAAAGATAGTCCGAACAGTAGCCTTGGCTTTTCTATTCCAGATTAGGATCAGCTATTTGAAAGTAGGTGAAAAATGAAGAAACCAATAGCTTCTGCTAACCAGTGTATTTGGTACAGTTCTGAAAATAATGAGAGATCTGCTGCTTTTGTGCTTTTCAGAGTGCACACTGGAAAAAAAATCCATCAGGACCAAAGCTAGACTGGTAAACCTAGCTTTAGCCATTTGTCCAATTAAAACTGAAGTATTAAATAAACAGAACTATCAAAGCAGTGTTGAATTCAGGATTTTAAACAAAAATAGTATTTGAAACAATTGATATTACAGCAGCATAACCATAAACTTCTCTGCCTTGTCAGGAATAACAATAACAATTATAATTATAATAACAATTATAATTATATAATTATAATATATATAATTACAATTATATAATTGTTATTATAATTATAACTGTTATTGTTGTTATGTTATTTATAATGTTATTATAAAACGTTAGCATTCCCCCAGCTTCTTTTAAGAGTTTTGAGTATGATGATTATGATTACAGTTTTAAGACTTTAAAATAATATACATGCACATATATATATATTTCAGCATGAATGACAAATCACTTACCTTGTGCCTCTCGCCTTCAATTCTGTTAATCAACACTTGAGGAATAGTGATATCAAAATTAGTTCCATCTAAAGCATATTGGTCAGCACGACCATCAAGCACAGAATCTACCACTTCCTTTTCCATTTTCAAAGATGAAAGGGTATCCATGACAAATGTCCACATATTGCGGACCTTAATGAGCAAGGAGGAAAAAAAACATGTGAAATGCTTGCCTTAACATCTAGAATGGCAGAGTACCAGAACATAAATATGTGAGAACACACTTACTTAGTCAAATATTTGTTTAGAGAGAACAGCCAATTTAGTCACAGATAGAAGTACTAGTATCTGAGAGAAAGTGACAGAAAAATGTTAAAAGAAACAGTAAATTGTTACAGTAGAAAAGTGCTCACCTTTTGAATTCTCTCAGTTTTGCCAATTTTGCTTCGGTCATTTCGCTTCTTCCTACATGCACATGCAAACAAAGTTCAACCAAACTACAATGAAACTATAGCTTACAGTATTTCATAGAACCATGTGAGATATTCATTATATAGGTAACAATCATGAGGAAAAATACTTACTTTAAAAGCCACAGCTTCATACCTGCACATTCAAGTTTTAGCTTCCTTATTTCTTTATTTAGCAACCTAGAAAGAAATGTAACAGGTACATCCTTTAAGAACATTTTACTCTACTAATCTGTTATTTCTTTAATTAGCAACCGAGAAAGAAAAATAACAGCTTTTAAAAATATTTTTACTCTACTGATCTCAAAATTCCTGAAGACTTTGGTAGTTTTGTAACCTTGCAAAAACAGATTGTCAGAAGCACAGGATGCTGAAGGTATACCAAGCTCTACTTGGAGCTCTACTACCTAAAAGGAACTTTTAAGGTTTGATGCCCTGTTACCGGTGGAAAAAAACAGAAAAGTAGTTTAATAAATCAGCCAAGGAGAAAGCAAGACCTCTAATGCTTCTCAAGCAGAGAGATAGGTCACAAATCTTAAGAATCCTAGAAAAGCCTGGAAGAGATACCTACAACTCATCCGGTACAAACTTCCATTGAAAGCAGAGGCTTTCAGGCAGCCAGGTTTTTCCCTTAAGTAACCCGTACCCATTGCCTCTGACACTGTCAGCAGCACAGCCTTTGTGAAAAGGCTGGCTCTGTCTTCTCTGTAACCACCTTTCGGGGGTTTGTAAGAATGGGATTTGACATCTCCCACATCCCAAGCTTTCTCTCTTCAGACCAAGGAAACTATTCCTTCAACCTTTCATCATGCATCAAGTTCGGCAAACCTCTAATCACACCAGTGGTCATCTAAGTAAGTCTTTCAACGAGTTCAGCATTGTGGGGCAAGCAGGGGAAGGCATGGGGAAATGACAACCTTGCTCAGTATTACAGGTGTCACCAAAGAAGCGCCCAGTAAAGAAGCACACCCCTTCATCTGACAGCTTTGCCCCTGTTTGTAGGGCCCAGCATATGGTCTATCTTTTTTGCTGCCAGAGCTCATGCTCAGCTCAAATTGGCAATGGTTCTTTAAGTATGTTGGTGGCAGCTGGGAGTACAAGGAGGATTTATGCCCACTTCTTCACGGAATGGCAAGTTAATGGTGTCACTGGCTGAGGTACTTGTTACAATGTTTCGGTTCGAGATTTCATAGAGAAGGTCATCTCCCAAGCCTCTATGCCAAGTAGCAATGAGGAAATGAACGGTGAACTACTGAAAGGAGAGACACGGCCTGGGTCCATCTGTACAAACCAGACACCAGTGTTTGTTACCTGATGGGATGCACACAGGAGTAGTAGGAACTAGCTGAAATGAGTGTCAAACTTGTGTCATCTTTGGAAAGCTATCGGGGAAGATTTTTTAACCAAAGGCTAACAAACACTAACATGAGCATCTATGAAAAAAATCTGTTTTATAAATGCATAACTTACCATGCTTTCTTCTTATGCTCTCGAATTATATAATCTTCCTTTTGAAGCATCTGCAGAAGTTTATTACATGCTGTTCTGCATCTTGCTTTTGTCAGGTATGGATCGTCTTGTATTAAGTTATCAATGTTGGCAAAAGGTATATCAGTGCCTAAATAAAAGTATTTTTATTACATAATTTACCTATCACACTAAACAACTTTCTCATCCATCTGGTTTAAAATACACATGGGAGCAGAGATTCCTATTCTAACCTGAACTTAAGCACACAATACATTCTTCAACTCTTTTCTATTGCAGATTTTCAAACCCTCGCTCTCATCCCTTTTCCCCCCTCTTCAGTACATCAAAGAGTAAAAGTTAAATAAAAAAATTTTAAAATAAATTAAAAAATTTAAAAAATCCATAAAAATATATAGTTCTCTACCCCGAAAAATCCAACAGTACTCAAACAGTAAGAAATAGCACAGTATGAAAAACTGCTTTTGGACCAAAGCACTGCTGCTCTGTGCACATATATGTTTACTACACTACACCCATTCATACACACACATAAAACTACACCATTACACACACTTTCAAATAGCAAGAGCCATAAAGTAAAAGCAAGTAAAACAGGCTGCATTCTATTTTAGTAGGAACTCAGTGTAAGTGTACTACAGCCTCACAAAAAATCTAGAACTAAAAGCCAACTCAGGTTTAACAAAACTCTTAGTGTTCATTAAAGTTTTAACAGAAACACCATCAAATATTATAAATCAATTATTTCTTATGCTTACCTACAGAGTTGACTTTTATATCCTGAATCAACACATATCTTGCAAATTGATACATTAAATCAATAAATTTAGGACCACCAGCAGAAAGAAATAAAGAAGCTGCAATTTGTGGAAAAGTGCTTCTGTCTTCTTCCTGGAAGAAAGGAAATCGATTTTACCACAAAATTAATCCAAGAAATAATGCCTAAGCAGCTACCAAATATTTAGCTAGGTATCAAAACGTTACAGATGTACGTACTAGTAAGCTGGAGCCAAAGCTGAACTACTTTACTAACATGATGACAACAACTCGAGCCAATGGAGGAAACTAAATAAAGCCTTATGGATATTCCCCAGAAGTTCTGACTAATTTTGCTTTGTTTTCCTCAGTTCACCTTAAGCTATAGTATCTGTTGCCAAATAACCCCTCATGTTTTCATATGTCTAAGTAATTACCAAAAATACCACAATAATAAATATTATCTCAAATTACTTGAGCTAACACCTCAAGTTGAAGTAGATCATTTTCATCTGAGTTCAGGGCCCTATTACAAACTTCTGTTTAATTTCATGTAATCCAAATCCAATCCTTAACCTTGGATGGTCTGGTTTAAATCCTAACTTCACCACATCACAACTTTCTTCTCAAAAAAAACGCTTAAAGCAAACTATGTGAAATGTTTCTTTATAATTCAGTTTTACTGATGTCTTGTAAATCTAAAGCATCCTATGCACTCTCCATTAAAGAAGTCACGGGAACCACTAGAATACTAATTTCCGTTCCTCACAACACTTACTGCAATTTCTTTTAGCCAGGTAAAGCATTGCTTCCTAAATTCAGGGTCTCCTTTTCTGTCTCCTGGAAGTGAGCAGTCTCTTCCCATTTAAAAGGAAACAAAAGAAAAAAAAATAGTTACATACTCAGCTATAAAATCAGCCATTATAAAAGTCAACTAAGACAAAGATCTTAGTTGTGCCAYATGGAGGAAGCAGAGAACGAAGGGTTACATCTGATATCTAGAATAGCTAAAATATCATTAATTGACAAAGTTTTCTTGCCCAGCATGCTGACTGCAAACCCTTTAAGACCCATCTGCAGTTCTTTTAAATTCAGAAAGTAACAATGATGTCTGAAAAGTTTCATATCCAGTCTCTCCTTTCAGTCTTTTTAATCTGTAAACTGAAACAGTTCAGCTACTATGGAAGGAGGAGGGGTTTTTTTGTTTGTTTGCTTTTTGTCAYGACCTCTACTCTGACAGCAATCTGTAGCTAGCAAGGTTTTCAAATGTTTGACCAGGGTAGAAATAAGAGAGAGTTTACTACTTGAAAGCTACGAAAATCTTTACTGAATTAGCAAAGTAGAAGCTACCATCAAACTCTGGTTTAACTATGGTAAGCTGTTCTTGCTCATCACAAAGTTTTGGCCAAGGAAGAGTCTATCTGAAAACATTTGTTTTTCAAAAGGCAGCACATTTCTTCCTCCGCAACCCTGCCATTCTTGACTATATTCACAATACTATTACTAAATGCATGAACCTAATGCATACCTAAACATTTCTGCTGCACGTGAAGGATCCAGCTTAGTGAACAGGAAGAGTGCAATGGTGTGAAAAGCTTCGTTGTTCGGAGCATCGAACATGTCCCTAAGAAACAAACAACCGCCTCAGAAACACCAAGGCATGCAAATTCACAGAGCGCGCCCACAGAAGAACACAATAACGTTACACGGGGTGAAAGCGTTGCAAGCCACACGTGGGATAACGCCGCTGGCCGGTTCAGCCCCGCACCCTCCCGCCCACGCGCGGGGCTGGGCGGGCCCGCGCGCGGCCGCTGGGCCCG